CGTCCCTTGTCTTCTAGAGATGTCACTCATGAAACTCATCCTATAAAAGTAACAATAGACGGTCATGATAGCTACATAGCTTTTAACATAATTAAATCCCCGTCCAATCCAGTTATTTTAGGTTTATCCTGGCTAGAAAAATATAACCCTCGAATAGATTGGAATTCGCGTAAACTTGACTTTTCCCAAAGCATTATTAATAGTTCTACCAAGCAAGTAAAAAGTTATAAATCTAGTATAGTAAAACCCGTACTGATAGGTGCAAAAGCATTTATACACGCAGCAAAAGAAGGATCAACTTTTGCTATTTATGCTGCACCTATTTCTGAAAACGTAAAGACTTCAAGTGGCATTCTAAGTCAATATCAGGAGTATCAAGACGTTTTTGAGAAAAAGAATGCAGATATTCTTCCTGAGCATCGTCCATATGATTGTTCAATCGACCTCAAGGAAGGAACTCAGCCACCATTTTGACCAATTTATAGTTTATCGCAAGATGAGATGGCTGAACTCAAGACATATATTGACGAGAATTTAGCGAAGAATTTCATACGCCATTCAAAATCTCCAGCAGGAGCTCCAATTCTATTCGTAAAGAAAAAAGATGGATCTTTACGAATGTGTGTTGATTATCGAGGACTCAACAAGATCACAATCAAGAACAGGTATCCATTACCTTTGATATCAGGACTCCTTGACCAGTTGAATCAAGCTAAGATCTATACAAAAATAGATCTAAGAGGAGCATATAATCTAGTACGGATCAAAGAAGGAGATGAATGGAAGACTGCGTTTCGAACCAGGTATGGACATTTCGAATATAATGTCATGCCCTTTGGACTCACGAATGCACCAGCTGCTTTTTAACATCTCATGAATGATGTATTTCGTGAATTCTTAGACAATTTTGTCGTCTGCTATCTAGACGATATCTTGATCTATTCTAAGAACGTTGAAGAACATGAAATACATGTTCGTCAAGTATTACAAAAACTTAGAGATGCAGGATTGTATGCCAAGATGGAAAAGTGTGTATTTTACACTACTCAAGTTGACTTTTTAGGATACATCATTTCAAATGATGGTCTCATGATGGATTCTAAGAAAGTCCAAACAATCGTGGATTGGAAGATTCCAAGGACGGTAAGAGATGTCCAATGTTTCTTGGGATTCGCCAATTACTATCCGATCTTCATCAAAGATTTCTCACGAGTTGCAGCACCACTTACACGCTTGACTAGTAAAGATAAATTTCAATGGAATCAAGAAGCAAAAGCAGCATTTGAAGCCTTGAAGACATCGTTTGTCTCTGCACCAGTCTTATATCGTGTTGACTTTTCCAAGGCATTTTTTATGGAAACAGATGCATCAGATTTTGCCTTGGTGCAGTTTTATCACAAATGGGAACAGATGACAAACTCCATCCGATAGCTTTTCATTCAAGAAAATTCTCATCAGCCGAGATCAATTATGAGATCCACGATAAAGAACTTCTTGCAATCATGGATTCCTTTCAAGAATGGCATCATTATCTAGAAGGCGCTTCTAGTCCAGTCATTGTGTATACAGATCAAAAGAACCTCGAGTATTTCATGTCAACACACATGTTGAATCGTCGTCAAGCTCATTGGAGTATGTCTTTGTCAAGATTCGAGTTCATTATCACTTATCGGCCAGGAAAACAACAAGGTTTATCCGATGCCCTATCTAGACGTTCTTATTTTGCACCAAAAGAAGGAGATGCAGCTTTTAAGCAACAAAGAACGGTCCTCTTGAAACCGGAGCAATTTCATCTCCGAGCAATGAAATCAACATTGACTGTTGATTCAACTTTTCTCAAGCAAATCCAGTCCAGTATGTCCTCAGACCCTCTTGTTTATGATATCGAGAATAATTCTTCCAAGTCTCATGATTCTTCTAAGTTTGAGTTCAAGAATAATCTATTATATTTTGAAGGACGCCTATATGTTCCAGAAGGAGAAGCACGTTTACGTGTTCTTCAAGCACGTCATGACTTTCCAGCAGCAGGGCACTTCGGATATAATAAGACTTTGGAACTCATATCAAGAGATTTTTGGTGGCCACAAATGTGGAAGTCAGTCAAAGACTTTGTACAATCATGTGATATTTGTTCAAGATCAAAAATTCCTCGTCATCGACCTTACGGACTTCTTCAGCCATTACCTATACCAGAACAACCATGGTCTTCTGTTTCTATGGATTTCATCACAGATCTTCCAAGCTCAAGATCTTATGATTCTATATTTGTGATAGTAGATCGTTTCACCAAGATGGCACATTTTGTGCCATGTACAAAATCTATCACATGTGAAGAAACAGCTAAGCTTTTCATTGATAATATCTATCGCTATCATGGATTACCTAAAGATATCATATCAGATAGAGGAACTCAATTTGTGTCAAGATTTTGGAGGACCCTTTTCAAGATTTTAAAAGTGGACATAAAGCTATCTTCGGCTTTCCATCCTCAAACTGATGGACAAACAGAGTGCGTAAACCAAGTCTTGGAGCAATATTTAAGGTGTACTATCAACTACCAACAAGATGATTGGACAACCCTTCTGCCATTGGCAGAGTTTGCTTATAATAATACGGTACATTCTTCCACGCAACAAACACCTTTCTTTGCCAATTATGGCTATCATCCACGACTTGATACTTTTGATTTTTCAAAAGTTGATAATCCTGCAGCAGAAGATATGGCAAATTGGTTGTCAGAGTTACATGCAATAATGAAGACACAATTGAAGGAAGCTCAAGAACGACAAAAGATAAACGCAGATCTATATCGTAAGGAGCAACCACAAATCAACGTGGGTGATAAGGTATGGCTACTTCGTCGCAATATCAAGACTACTCGACCTTGTGACAAGTTGGACTATCGTAGGCTTGGCCCCTTTTCTGTTTCTGAACAGATCAACCCAGTTGCATATCGGTTACATCTACCGGAGTCAATGAAGATCCATCATGTATTCCACGTATCTCTTCTTGAACCATATAAGACAGTGGATATACAAGGAAGAAGACAAATGCCACCGCCTCCTATAGAAGTAGATAATAATGAAGAATTTGAGATGGAAGAGATATTAGACTCAAGGCGGCGCCGAAATAAGCTGGAATATCTTGTTCATTGGCGCGGATATGATATTAGTGAACGCACATGGGAGCCATCCAGGAATCTAGCAAATGCATCAGCTAAAGTCAAAGTTTTTCATCAACGACATCCATCAAAACCAAGATGAAAATCTCTCTTATAAAAGAGACAAGATTGAGGCAAGATAACATTTAATTTCCTATCCTTGTTTGTAATTTCTTTACATTTGTGACGCTAATTAGATGAAGAGCCAACAACTAGCAGATTCAACTCAAGAACCTTTGTTTGCTAAGCTGTCGGACGAGACATTACGATTGTCACAACCTTCAAGACGACGCAATCAAGATGAAGATCTTCAAGAACGACATGTTCTTCCTTGAACAGATGGTGAGATAGAACGAGTTTGGTATCACGATTTGGGAAAGGACTCTCGATGTTTGGTGATTTTACTAGAGGTAGGAACAACTCCTGATGGTGTTCCCAATATTCTATTCGAAGGAAGTTATGAAGGCCTCAACAGTGATCAAATAACAGGGTGGTCTTCTCGCCCTGGTATGGGACACTACCGATGGTTGAGAGGCCCTATCAATCATCTTCGAAGAGAACAGAGATCAGAGTATGTGGCGAATATAATTCGTCGCATCATAGATTTCCTCAACATATGATGACCGCTCCTCGTGGAACTCGTCTCTAGAAGGGGGGGTAATGTCACGGCCATAATCATGTAAGCTAATAATTACATATAGAAATAGGTAGAAGTAAGTTAATTATATAATATTTAATATAGAAGCTTCCTAGAAACTTCCTAGACGCTGCTTTGACTTCATAGGTATCTTTAATTGACTTTTTGGATTAGAAACGTGGTCAACAAGTTGGCCATGTGCCACACATGTTGTTAGCTTGAAGATCAAGCTAACTATGTGGCCCACACGTAGAAAAACTTGCCTTGTAAGTCAAGGCATGTGTCCTACAAAGTCAACACATATTGGAGGTCCTATAGAACGTCGCCACGTAGCCCCTAGTTAGATAGTATATATAGAGACAAGAGTGAAGGCTTCTTCACTCTTGTCAACTCCTTTCTTGCTTCTAGTCCAAGTTCAAGAGTCTTTAATTTCTTGTCTTGTGGCAATAGCCATTCCAGTTTCCTTTTAATATACCTACTTGTTTATATTTTGACTTATTATATCGAGATAGCCTTTTGGTGTATATTTTCCCTCATCGAGTCTTTGTCCTTGACACCAAGTCACAAAAGGATTGGGGGCATTTGGATAGAAGGAGCAATGGTGGAGCTATTGTCCAACCACAAGCCAATGGTTTCAACTATGGTTGCAAGAATGCATGTTAACACATAAAGAGGAGTGCAAGGCTACCCCCCTACTTTCTTTGTCTCACTTAGAAAGAAGGGATTTTTGCATTTAGTATTCTACAAAGATACAAGAAAGTTGGCCAACATTTGTTGTTGTTGCAAGGAATAGTTGTATAGAATCTTTGGCTTAAAAGAAAAGATGCAGAGTTGAATAGGAGACATTGGCAAAAAAAGCAGATGTACATCAAGATGTAGCTTAGTCTTGGCAACTGTGGGCTGGTGGCATAGGCCTCAACTCAGGCCAACATTAAGAAGGCACTTGACAATTTTCAACAACAATGGTGTGCAAACAGAGTGGTAGCAACATGGGTATCGACGGTTTCAAAATGGAAACTAGTTAGTCCTAAATTTGCATGTTAAGTCGTCGTTTAGGTGTTCAGTGCTGCCTGTGCTGGTACATATGTATCTATATTCTATATGTAGTAAAGAAGTTTTTCAGTTGTGTCAAAAATAAAAATAAAATAAAAAATTAAACAACCACCACTGATTTAGCATGCATACTAAATGGAGACCCAATACTACACCAATTCGAAATTTGAAATATCTTCACTTTGTTACAGGATTTTTCAACCCTTGAATCTAACAGAGGTATGGATTCAGGGTGCCCTTGTGACCACTCACACAACAAGAGTTCCAAACCCAAGCCCCTTTCTTGACAAAGCGGGAGGGTAGGTAGCAACATCCAAGACGAGCATATTCTCAATTCAAAAACTTCCTTTCTGTCCAAGTAGAGGCTAAGAAGACAAGGAGGTAGGCAGGATTGGAGGTGACAGAAGTAACAATTTGTACCTTCTTACGTCATTTCCAAATGAATTCAATTCAGCGAGTTTAACACTTCACCTAGAAAATCTTCTGTGATGTCGTTGGACCACTGGGCCAGTGCCAATGAGTCCAAATGAGCCACGTTAACATGTTCGAAAATTGGAAGTCAAAGTTCATGGAGGGACTTAATTGTCCGAAAGCCATGGTCTGGAGGCAAAGGAGCATTTCCAGGGCGTAGAAGGAGAACCGCTTGGAGACCTGAAATAGAATTGTGAGCTGAAACTAGTGGAACTTGAAAAAATAAAGGAAATGGCATGAATGACTCAAGAAGAGTTTTGCATCGTGCAGAGATGTTTGCCGAAGCTTCAGACAACTGGACTTAGATGCGATTACGAAATTGAATCTTATAAGATACTTGTAAGTTGAAATATTAGAGGTAGTAGAGATGGACCTGCTTCCTTCGCAGCTATGGCTTCAGCAAGCACATCAGTGGCGAATGTTATACAGCTAGGGTGATCGACTCCAACTGTGAGATAAATTTCTTTGTAGCTTCTGGACTCTCTCTTGTTTCTGCATAATGAAAAAAATAATTTCACCAAGTTTCACATCCATGAAAAATCCCATCACACCTGAATGCATAGACCAGTTTATTTCCGACCTCACACCTCTTCATTAGTCTCAGTAGATAAACTCACATGCTCGCAACCCTCCTAAAACAGTCCGCAGAAAAGAGTAGAAAATACAGTTAATTCAAAGATAGAAGAGGGTTAATAAGAGTTACAAGAAAGGAGCAGTGCACATCTTTCACGGAGTTTTAGCGTTAGATGGCATACCCAATAGTAGTGTCGAAGAACCCCGACAAATAGACCCGAAGGTCACCAAAGTTTGTGTTTCCGAAAATATGCTTTTGAGCTTCTCGGCTCCCACTAGAATATATGTACGCTTTTATGCCCCTTGCATCCCAGTCTGCTAGAGCCTCAGGTACATCCTCAAAGACCACACCTTTCAACTCACCCTTTTCATACCCGACTCTCCAAATGTGGCCCTGCAGCACCGACATGAGGAAGTAATCAACACCATTCCGAACAAACTTACGACTCCGAGCATTTACGGCATATAAAAACTGCATATAACACTTGAGAAGATAATTCCAAACTCACACCTGCAGCTCTTTCAGAGCAGTTACTTTGCGGTCAGCTTTGATCATGGCCTGCACGTTCTCCTCAACAGCTGCAATAACAGCTTCAATACCTGCACTTTCGACGGGTATTTCTTTAGCTCCTGGTACTCCGTTCATTAAGTCCTCATGCACCTGCAATGAAGTAAAAAATTATTTGTCAAATCGAGAGTCTAAGTGCTAAGAAATTATCAACGCAGTTGCTATTAAAATGGATCATGTGCCAATGCGCTGAGTCCTGCCAACTCACTTGGTCGCGAAGTAGTTGGATGTCGGTACGAGTTTCAGTAGTGTCGTAGGTAGATCTCAAGAAACTTCCAACATTGTCTCTCGCATACGGGAATAGTACTTCTGTCACGCACGAGATCGGTGTTGTGGTGCCCTCGATGTCCAGCACAACCACTTTCTGCAAACGTAGTAGTACTTCGTGTAATCTAACTTGATTGCGAACTGAAAAGTACCTTTTGATGAATCACTGCACGGATACTCAAAATACAGGTAGAGATCTTCGAAAAAGGAAAAGTCAGACACCAAGAAAAGAATATAAGATCCAACTCCATCTGTGTGTAGCATTCACAGGGAGTTCACAACTTGATGTCCAAATTACCTTCGAGCTGGGCTCTTCACTTGATTCAGTTGAAAGGGCATGTGTTGTTGTGAGAGGCCCATGCTTGGGATTAACAGGACCAGAGCGTAGTTCAGGAAGCTGAAACGAAGCGCCAAAAAGGTAACGGTAGCACTCCGAAATTGTGGAATCTGTAGAAACGGAGCGAATTTCCGACATTATTGAAAGAAATGTCAATAATCACAGATCAGGACAAAGCAACTAGGAGAATCAGTGACTTGCAATAAGTGCCATTGGGAAGAAGCAACACCAGGAGATCAATTCTGGAAAGAATAGAAATATCTCACCTGAGAGAGCCATGGCGACGACTCGCGCCTGCACATCGATACGCGGCTCCGGCTTCTTCTTCAAGGAAATCCTCTTCCCAGTCCCTGACACCCATCCCCAATACTCATCTCCACCCATATCCATCCCCACACTCATCTCCTCGCAACCCCTCCATCCAAGACCAGCTCTCGCACTCCCGACTCTTCTGCACCCAACCCATGCACCACGACGATGGCGACTCAAACTCCAATTTCTGTCGCTCCATGAGCTAGCAACGCTAAGAATCAAAGAGGAGGGAGAAGAAGAAGAAGCATTCTGCAACACAGCAGCCATGAATGGAACGTCTTTCAGAGCAAGAGTCACGGGCGATTTCTACACAAGTTGGAGGAAAAAAAATATAATTCGCTGTAAGAAACAGAAACTGGCTGGTCGTAACAGTGCAGTTGAGAAAATGGGCCATCCCCTTTGGATTTGCGAGGCGTACGCTCGTCGAGCGTCCATCCGTGCGGGAATGGACAAGGAAAGGAGGACGAGGAACGGGAGTAGGCGTGCCAGTGTGAATGGGTCACAATCACGATGTCGGTCTTTTCAGAGGCCACTATTCTTCTGATTATAAATTCTGGCAGTCGGGGTCTATCATCCCGCTGACATACTCGGCATAGAACCGGGTGAGCGGGATTATGGTACCCGTGCATGGTGGGTATTTGGCGGACGTCGACAGAGTTCGACCAAGAGCTTGCCTACTGTGAAGTGGCAAATTGGTGTAGGAAGTCTAAAATAGCCATCTCTTCAAAAGCACTGCACATCACGAACAGTTTATTCTGTTTCCCGTTTTAGGGAGCAGACACAAAGAAGAGAGGATTTAATAGCAGTTCACAGAGTAATTGATAGAGGCATCAGAAATTACAAGTAAAGATTCCCTTAAAAATGAATTTACATGCTTCCAACCACCTCCTTGATGAGGTGATACGGGTGTGCTTAAAAATGTTTGGGGTGTAGCACATCCACCTGCGTTGCTTAGTGTGTGCATCGTTACTCTACACTAGTGGTACATGATAAACTACAGAGCAATTTGCCAGCCTGAGTCACAGATCACCACAACCGCAGATCCTTTCATACTCAAATTGCTTGCTGCCGTTTACTCCTGCTTCAAAATCGGGGGCGAAGTGTAGCTGTATCAATCTGCAAAAAGCAAATCACTGGTCAGACTGAGAATCGTAAAACGAGTCCCACCCCATGTACTTCAGTAAATGTGTAGAAGTTAACATATGCAATGTCGTGGAAACACAGACAGAGCACAAAAACTGTATCATTTGACAATCACGCATTAACCGAGAAAGATGTGCAAGTGCTCATCCTACATTCTCACTGTAAGATATACTCAGATATTGCATTTAGAACAAATAAGATTGAGATGCTATATTCCACCACAAAGATCATCCACCCACACAAACAAATCCAGTACGTTGTCCAACCTAAGGCATGATTGCTCAGAGGTCTACTGCTGAGTCTTGAGATAATGTTGAAGATCTAATTCGGTTGTAGTTTTGTCCACCAAAAGTGAACACTGATGAGAATGCAGACATGCAGATATGGTCTCGCAGGTATTGCCGAAGCAATCCACACCAGCTAACTTGACCTTCTCTGAACATATCTTCACAGACAAGGGATGTGAATTCCAAAGCGTCTGGCCTGTCACCTTCAATAGAATCAACATGAAATAAATAACCGTCGCAAAAATAGAGTACCTCCACTAAAGATGCAGAGACCGACTTCAAAAAATTAAAAAGATTCAGACAAAACCAGGCCTAATCTGTTAGTGAAACTCCTCGAAAACGTACATCTCTCAAGGTACGTCTAGTTAGGAACACAAGAGGCACAACCAAGTGCTGGAAACCAGAAATGCACTGGAACAAATAGTTCTCTGGGGGCATAATGTGTAAACGTGCGGCACTAGTTCCCGAGCTACAAGCTTAATACATCCCTTCAATCTGAACTGTAAACGGAACAGTGAAAGAATAAGGGCAAGTGTTTCACGTTCTGATCAGTTTCACTTCTCCCAACCAATGCTTCCACAGGGACCAGGATCTCTTTCATTTAAAGCTTCCCAAGCTTCGCTTAAGATGTCGAACCCTTAGACGATGTGCATCGCCGATTCATGTAGGCTAATTCGCAACTAGCTGAAAGGAAGACATCTGTGAACAGAAGAATACTAAGGTCTCATTGAAAAAATCCCAAAAGTCGCACGTTTCATTCAAAGAATATCACAATTAAACACATTGAGGCACTGAGAAGGAAAGTTTCCACTTTACAAAACTCATTTCATTTTGCCACTGGGGGAGGAAATTGCTTACAAATGGTATTTAAATTCTAGGTACATGACCTGCGCAGAACTTACTTCCGAGTACTAGAAGGTCAGATATTTCTTGTACAGCACAGTAATCCTGTGCACGGCGACTCATCGGCCGTACATAAGTCGAATTATATTTCATTGTGGAAGCACTGTGATGTAATGCATGATGTACACAATGCGTAGTAAGACATGTACAACAGTACGCTTAGATTTGTAGTGATATGAACAGAAAATCTGTATCTACGTTATAACGATCTTTCGGGAGACACAGGAGACTGCCAAGAGGGGGGAGGAATGCAAAAATAACTTGGTCGCGAAATAGGCGTGGTGAAGTCTAACTGTTACGGAGCATTTTGAATAATCTGCTTGTATCCTGGACTCTTTCAAATTGACTTTACTTGGAGAATGTCTATGAGATTGCGAAAGTTTCGTACTAGCAATGATGGTATCAAACTCTCAACGTTAGTACAATGATGCCTGCTTACAACCCTGTGTTAAGCATAAGCAGTGCCAGAGGTAGGGATAAAGACAACTACCTCAAAGGTTGATGTAGGCTTATGACATTGGACCTTGAGTGTAAATGTGTCTTGGGCATTGATCCTGTTTTGATATATCTGGTCAAAGTGAAGAAAACACGAATAGAGGAAGCCGGTAGGAGCCCACGGGATCGTTATCCACTTGAACATGAGCCAAAGACGTCGGAGGCCAAGATGATAATAATTCGTTCCTCAACGACCTATTTGACATGTGGCATGGCTATCTTGGTTTGAATTCGCAGAGCCCAAACCTGACTCGTGTTCCAGCACCGTCCACAAGTATGTTACAATTCAATTCTCTACCACGTCTTCGGGCGAGGACATCTTTCCTAATGCCCGGAAGCGTTAGGTGCCACCTGACCTCCGACTCCGCGCATGTACACACGAATCCTGATGGTACTTCAGCACCATGGTTCGAGACATAAAACCCCACACCAGAACTTGCTTTGCTTCCACAGGGGGCTCCGGAACAAGCAGCACACAGAAAACGATGTAGCATGTAAACCAGATCAACACATCCCAGTAGAGTTGGAAACACAGACGATACTCGACCGACACAAAGCACCAGCAGGAGGAATAGTCCCCCCTGCACCACGCAACCGATTTTTTATTATTATCAAGAGTGAGACCTACCCCGTAAGCGCACCCATAAGGGAAAGGTCTCGCGACACAACAGTCAGCCTGATAATTCAGCTTTAAGCTTGGCTAAGCTGTGGTCGTCAACTCTTTAAATAATAACCTCGACGCCAAATAAAATCCGTCGGCGACAAAACGGCGTAGTAACCAACCACGAAGAGTCGTGCTAAAATAACTTCGAATGCAACATCGCAGGCCCGCTCACAGGTCTCTTCTGATCTGTGATTCAAAAAAGACAGCATCAGAGAACCACTCCAGGCTCAACTAAAACGAAATCAAGAGAAAAGAAAATGAAAATTTGAAATAGAACATCAGGATGCAGCACTTCGATAAAAGTAGGCGACAAATATTAAACTGCACGCTGAGAGCGCCAACAATAAACCGACCCTAAACTGCATGACCGCTAGCAAGGATATAGTGCTTCACCTCATAACAACGTCCTTCAAAGCAAAAGTATCTTTTCCAATGAGATCTAGAGCGAGTGCAAAGATATTTGACATTAGCCGCCTCGTTCCTCAATCGACACAAATTCATCGTACTCGGACGAGCCGTCACAAAGGAAACTACGCCCACCTCCGCCTAAAATCCAAGGCGCAAGCACTCTCGTCTTCAAGACATCCGCCAGAGGGCATTCTTGGGACAACTCTACCCCTCCAATCACCCTCCACAAATTGCCGTCCATCTCTACGCGCATCAAACCTACAGACATCTCGACTTCAGATCAAGCCACCTTCTCTGTTTCACAATGCTTGAAGGGCAGAACTTACCAGCATACAACCGAGCATAGAGCCAAAGGGAAACTTAAAGACACATCGGAGGGGCACATCCTGTAAAGATGCAGAGTTCCCGAGGTAAAAGCCTGCACGTTGCATCGTGCAGGCGTAGTTTCCACGCGAAAGGGATGACTCCTAAAACCGTCCAAATCGAAGGCCATCCGTCGATCCTAAGCACACGGTTTTGAGTGCTTCCGATTACCGTGAATTTGGTGGTATACGTATACGGTTAAAGGGTACTGACAGGTAAGATCCAGAAAGTTCTAGAGGAATGGGACTACGTCGCCAGGTGCATCGAAACCGTTGCTATTCTTGACATCCTTAGCCTCTCGATGAAAAAATCTTCCGTTGGCGTAACCGAAGCACAGGTGGACTTGGCGCCATATGATGACGTAGGTATGTACTGAGAGGGTCATATTGACTAGAAAAATCCTAAATTTCAAAATATCATCAAATTAAGGACTTTTGAAATACTTGTTAATAAAAAAAAATTGTAGAAAAATTCTGTGGTAGAAGGTGTAGGGAAATATTTCTTTGTAATGAGGGGATCAAGTTATCTATATAGAACTCGAAAATCGTTTGGCATGTTTTCGTCTTTTCACCACTGAACAATTATCATCGAATGTTCTGGAGTAACAGCATAAAATATGTTGGGACAGTCTTGTTCGTTTCATACCTTAATTATTCACTACTTAGACTTATATTTCTATATATAGAAGTTTGTCGTTTCTTATTAGTTATGTTTGCACATGAACTCTCTAAATTTGTAATGTTGTAATAGAGCATATCGAACCTTCTTCTTTTCCCACCTGATATATAAAAAGTGATTAAATCAAGCACTAAAATCGGATGTGTCTTGTTATGTAATATTTTTACAAAGAAGTATAATTTTTTTCTTTTCGGTACTTTTCCCTTGAAGTCTATTGTTGCATCCATTCAACTGCATTCATCTTGTCTGTCATCATTTAGTTGCCCTTTAGCTAGCGAGGGAGCCGGAATGTGGTTCCCCGCTTTAATGCGATGTTGCGCAGCAGTTCCAAAATTCCGACGCGCCTCGGAATTCACGGCCCAGACTATATTCGAAACGTGCGGCAATTGTCAGCGACATGATGGATGAAAAATGGATATTACGGGGGATGTCATCCATCTTCAGGAGAATTTTCTGGAATCAATTCCTGGCTAGATTAGAATAATTTCTTATCATTTAATAAACTATTGAATAATTGCTTATCATTTGCCAAGCGAATTTTATTCAAAATCTAATTCTAAAGTCGGTCCTCTTTTATATACGATGACCCAACTTTTAATTATTTCTAGAAAATACAAAACTGAGACCTGAGACAGATGTAAATGATGGATTAAATCCTTCAAACCTGAACATTATCTCAGGATTATACTATATTACTTCATATCTTTTTTTAGAAACAATCAATGTATGCTCTTAATTTCAAACTTCTATCTTAAAACATATTTGTTAATTACCGTGTGTTTACATCATTATTATTTTATTATTTTACACGAAAATATATTGTTTATTTGTAAAAATCACATCTGTATGTTGTTGATACAATGGGTGGCAGAAAACACGTAGAATGTTACCTCTTTGTCCTTTAGTTGAATCACAAAGTAGAGCTTCCTTCTATATTGAAAATTAGCAACTTTTTCTTTTGTTGATTCATTTGTTGTATTAACATGGTATCATGGTATTGTATTATGGGCAAAAGATGCTAAATATTGTAAACATGTAACACTCCATTAAAATATAGGGTCATAGATTATTTAGTTTTATAAGATAACATTTTTTTCCTTCCAAATGGGTTTATTCTTTATTGACTGCGACTATGGTGAGAAAAGCGTACTACTCTCTAGAAGCAACAAACTTAGACTCGACTTATATTTATATTCTTAATACAGTATTTTTTTATTTGTTGAAGTCCATTAAAATATTGCATTCAATTTTTTTAAAATAAATGTACAAGTTCACTCTAAGAATTTTACAATAAGATCCATTATATGCTTTTCAACTTATGATTGTTGTAAAAATGGAGCTCCTGGTAAAATCATCAAATTGAAATTCAAAGGACTTGGCGTTCAACACATTTTCATATGTATGTATATATATATATATATATATATACACACACATATATATCATTAGTAATTTATTTAACTTTCTTACAAAATACCATAACATTTGTGATGGTAAATCTCTAAAATAAATATACAAATTTGGTTAGAAATTTAATTGTTGAAATAGAAAAACACAAATAAATGAAAATATCAATGGTATTTTAATTTTTGTACATGCTAAATCCAAAGCGTCTTGTTAGCTAAGACCATAAGAATAATGTATTGCGTTTCATATCTAAATTCAGATTTTGTGTTACATGAGTCAGTATAATTTTTTTGTAGAGTTAATGCAATGTATTTGTATAAGTTTTAGTTACATCGTATATAAAAATTCATTAATTTGTGTATATTATTTCTCTCCAATATCTTGCTTTTGAATATAACTCTTAAAGCAAAACAAGATCCTACAATGCTGGTGTGTAATACAATAATAGTACAAATCATTCATTACCATGTGTTTTATATAAACATAAAAAACAATTATTTCAAATAAATGATACCATTTTATTATTTGACAATAATGTGATATATTAACAAATATTTACGAATATTTATGTAACTATCAAACTCGTTCTAGTGTCAAAATGCAAATCCCAATAGTTATGATGCATACAGAAGAGGTAGAAATATATCTGTATTTGTACACATAAATACATAAAGAGATAAATGTACAATGCCAAAAAATTTAGACAGGTGGAGATTTTATTTCATTTTTAATTTTATTTCATTTTTAATTTTTTTACATATTTAATTTTTTAACAATAAATAAATAAATAACCATAAAATATACATTGATGTTTAGATTTATAGATTGGTGATTTTATTGTTATAATATTCACAAAAAAAATAGATTTTACCATAACGTAAATAATAGTAGTAACAGTAATTTATTTTTGAGTATATGTATAAATTAATTCAAAATTTCTGTAAACATTACCATAATTAAAATTTAATTTATCAAAAAAAGAGAGTAAAAATTTAAAACATTTAACAATAATTAATTATAACAAAATTGCTAGTACTCATTGTTATCTGCTATCACAGCATAAGTATTTGCTACATGTAAATTTTTGTTGAAACTAAACATACTCAATTATACTTCATTTTTATATTTGATATCTACTATTTGTTTGTAATTACAATTCTTAACATAATAATAACCAAAAAAGTTATGAGTTACACAATTTTTATGTTTTAATAAAATTGCTCAGGAATGATTTATTGTTTTCAGAAAAGGATTTTAAAAAATTTAACTCGAATAATGTAAATTCTTTGGCAAGTCTTATTGTTATTTAAAAAGTAAAGTGGTTTACTTTTTTATAAACTTGGTATCACAAAGTTGCCCAAAACGCAAAAAAAACACAAATGAATACAAACAATCAAGTACACCTAAACATTGCAGAAAGTTTCAACATCAAGCCATGTCCATACATAAATAAAAAATAGACTAATGTTTTTTAATCGTAAATGAATAGTTTCTTTAATGTTGCAATTTTTTAACAAATTTTACTTTCCTCTATTTTTCATTTAGTCATTATAGTGTATCTTAAAATTGAACTGATTATCATTGCTGCCATTATTCCAAAAAACAGACAAAATACAAAGCTCGCAATTTTCGCATTTTTCTTATGGTGATGAAAATTGTCCAGTTGCACCCTCAAACATGATCATCTAAACAGTAAAAGTCCTGAAACATAGACTCAGTTTTTTGTTACTCACTGCACATTCATCATTGGCACACTTGCACTGACTCGGGGATCTACAAAGCAAAAGCCATGCAGACTTTCGAATACCTTGTTTTTCATGGGCCACTTCAACAGAAAATGTCATCTTGCTGGTTATCTGCTAGAAATTCTGCTGAGGAGAATTATTGTACAACTGGATTACACCACATTTGACACTGACATTATTGGGTAGCGTGGAGCTTTCAGTGAATCCAGGCACTTGGCAGAATTTATGGACGCTTCTGTTGGTCAAAGAAAGGATGTAGAAAGATGCCATACGTTTGGCATGGACTATATTCTAAGAAGAAGCAAAATAATGCTTTAGGACCCGATAAACTGAGGGGCAAAGGTACTTCAGTGAGAGCCAGTGTGGCCAGTACCTATTGATCAAATCAACACAACAAACCACATACCGACTGCCGGAGAGCTCTGAGATGGCGCTTCCATCTTCTGCCTTTACTCTCTGCCAAATTTGCCACCCTGTTAGAAGTGCCAAGAGCTTCTGGTGAGAGCACTTTACTTTCACAGAACAAACCTTTTAGGAGCAGAGAATTAAGAGGAAAAGGTACATAACAAGCAACACGATTTGAATAATAAAAATGTAAAAAATCTAACCGGTGAGATGTGTCAACTTAGAGTTTTAAGGATGGAGCATTAGCTTTACCTCTCTCTTGCAACGATTCGTCACTGTATTCTGAATGCATTAAATGGAGCTCCCCTCTAATGGCAGCTAATAAGGCATCGTTCACCTGCAATGTTCACAGACACGCATGTAAAGAAATGATCTTTCTGACATTGTAGTTCCAAATTCCGGTGTTCTAGACCATACTTTGAAACTTGATTGTAGCGAGAATATAACCATTCGTTTGTGACAGGTTATTTCCTAGGTGATCCCAGTCGTGAAGACAGGTAAAGCAAGAGAACACACAAGGACCACCATCTGCATGAGATGGGAGAGAAGACGCTGACCTCTGTAGTGTGTTGATGCGTAATCATATGTCCGCCTGAAAGTTCTAGCATATAAGACACTGGATGTAGCTTCTCGGCAATTTTCCGCGCATGTCTTATTTGTGCAACTATATCACCTCTGCATAACAGAGACACTCAGTGCTATTCAGAACGTCAACCATGTCCCAGTGGACCACGTCAAAAGCCTCAAAGACTTCTGCTAGCGAGCTTGAATCGATCCTAAGAAAATAAGACTGTCAGGTTGCTTGGTTTTACACGCACTTACATTCCGTGAATAAGAAGCACCCTGATGCCATGAGATCGTACTCTGTCGAGTTCATGAGATGCAACTGCGTGAGTCCAACACGCATTGAATTGCCCATCAAGCCCGTGCTTAGGTTGCATTCCACTGTTTGTCAAGTGAACGACGTATTCCTAAATCCCACACAAATACAACCGTGATGTAAATCTGTGGAAGCGCTGAACTTAAATATAGCGTGCAACAAATCTAATGATTTCTCAAGAGCAACATTTGGTTCTTATGTGGAAGGTAAATCATAGTACAGTGCACAATATTTGCTTAAGTGCTTGCAACAGCAGAAGGGCGTCATCATCCAAAGTACCTTATAGAGTTTGGTCCTCATATACTCGCCATTAACTACTGTGTTCAAATAGTCCTGCACGATAACAACAACACTCAGCCATTGCTCAAGCATGCCTATCAGTGATTCGCACTTTCAAAAAATACAGGTAGCAACAATTCCTCAGCCACCTCTCGAATAAATTCAAATGACCTGCGTGTAATGTGTGTCAAGGTCGACGTGGGCACGCTCTTCGGGAGTCTTGGCACGTAGAAAACGGTATGCGATTTGTATCATTGTCCTGTCAACCTGCCAGGTAAATTCAAAAATTAAAACACCCACGAAAAGTAAGCCACATGCGAGTGAGGCACCGAGAGTAGGCATTTGTTTCTGTCAATTTAGAATGTGGAACTATTACACTACTCTGCATATCTTATGTGTCAACTAGAGTTTAAAAGGATAAACAAACCTTAGGTAGACACTGATAACCCCCTCCTGTAGTGCTGAGCATGGCCAAGGATATCACCCGCTCCGGAGCAATGACTGCCAATTTACATACAATCATGCCCCCTGTTCTGCCAAATGCACACAAAATAAATCTAAAATTAAAGAGAATCAAAGAATTTGCATACATCAAAGAAGATTAATGTTTCCCCAACATGACGTGACAAGGAAAATAGGGTACCCAAAAAACATGAATTCATACAAGCAAGGGATCCCCATCAGGTTTTTCTGAGGTACAAGATGGATCGCATTGCACGTGAGATGAAACAGCAGAAGGATGAAAAGGATACCCATGGAATGTCCAACAATATGCGCTCTTTTCCATCCAAGATGATCCATCACTTTTAAAGCATCCCTTGCCATGGTTTCAGTGCTGCGCAGCATTTCAACGAGCATGCAAGCACCTCAAAATGTCGCCACAAATTATACATTTAAATCACCTTCCAATTCATGCAACTGCCAAACGATTGAAGAGAAAACTAAAATAAAACCTAGTTCCTTCAAATGCTAACCTATAATGCTTCTTATCTTCAGGTTTCGAACTTTGACCTACGCCTCGATTATCCAGTGCACACGCTTGAATTCCTACATTCTCCTGGGCATACTCCCCAATAGGGCTACTACTACTCTGGTCGTGATTGCCATTCTCAGCTCTTTCCTCTCGGTTGGGAACATCCGTCCCACAAATCCCCTTCAGCTGGGGTCCCCAAGCTTGGTGATTGGCTGCCACACCTGGAAACACCCAATTCCGTTCGGCAATCAAATTCGATCCAGACACAATCAACATCTTAAAAACCTAAAACACCTCGAAAAAACAAACCAGGCCGAACGATGCACAAGTTACAGTCGCCATCGAAACGCTCTCAAGCGGCAAATCATACCAGGAATCAGCAACACTTTCGTGTCGCCATGACCATACAGCTCGTAAAAAATCTCCACCGTCTGAGGGAAATCCTCTACCACACACAAAGGCATCGCTCGCAACACTCCAGCTCAATCCTCAATTCCAGAACCAGCCACTCCAAGCCTACTCTCTAACTGGGCTCCGGCACCGCTTTTGCACCAAAACTATAACTGCTCCTAGGGAAACACGAAACTCAACCACGAGCTAAAAACCACGGAGGAGGGACAAAACAACACATAAACACACAAATAACCAGCGACTCCCCAAACAATGTGAGAATACAATCACACCCCGTTCACGCTCAATCAAGTGTGACCCAATTGCTAAAACATGCTCCAGAATCGAAGCTCGAAATCCTTTGACACCGTAAGCTTAGAATCGGCACAATTGGGATTAGCATGGTCTCAGTTTCTCCGAAATTGGCTTCGCTCCTGCGAGGCTCACAGCCACAACCCTGTGAAGTTGATCCGCGTGGAAGTCTTGTGCAATGTGGCAATCCGAGCGATCCTTCCGCTGTGAGCAAATCCGTGACGAGAGCTTCATCACCCATGAGATCATTTTCCTTCCTCTTCGTCGTCGTCATCGTCCTCGTCGCCCTCGTCCTCGCCATCGTCGTCGTCGCTACGCCGCGCGGAATCTCGTCTAGTGCCACCTCCGCCGCCGCTGCCACGAGGGAGACTAAATCGGTATACTTTAAAGTACACAGTTATTATACGAATTTGTTGTGTAGATTTGTGAGGCATGTTTGTGGTAACATTCTACAGACATGCGTTATAACTAGGTTGTTATTATTATTGTTACTACTTTTTAAAATATCTTCTCAGAAATTTAGGAAATCACATAAAAATAATTAATTTTATGAATCATATAAAATATGTGTATATATATATATATATATATATATATGTATGTATATACATACAAGTTATAGACATATACCATTTGTAAACACAAACATGATATACATTTTTATTGAATATTTTTAATTTTATAATTTTACAGAAATGTGAAGTACATCCAAAATTTTACTAAAATTTACCCACCTATCCTAATCATCATAAAAATAAAAATAAAAAAACCTCTAAATTCTTTTCTCCACTACTAGATCCCAAAACCAATGAGAACCAACCACATGATTATCATATTCTTCATCATATGTAGGTCAATTTAGTAAAAACCTAGATCTATTTAACATTTTCCTAATTTTATTCTACTTTAGTTGTTGACTTTTTTGATTTTCATATATCCAACATATCCTATTTATATTCAATTACAGTTCTTATAGAAAAAACATCTAAATATTATTTAATTAAATTTTATAATTTTTTTTTGAAGTGCATGATCTTATCTTATTTTTATTTTTTAAAGTTCAAATCAATACCCCAAAATGACAAGTGATCAACATATAATTTGAAACTTTTGAACTTTAATAAGTTTTCTATAAAATTATAAAATTCCTCCTTTTGGATCTTTATTTGGTTCATAAAGAAAAACAAATCCTACATTTTTGATATTTACATGCAAGTCAAAAATTTAAAACATGATTTTTTATACATTTATTTTTAGATTTTTAAAAAAATCTTAATCTTTATTTTTTGTTTTATTTGTGTATATTGTATATATTTAATCATTTATTTAGATGATTTTTTTTTTTTTTTTTTTTTTTTTTTTGGTAAAAATATAAAAATATCTTTATGATTAAGGTTTGACAAATTTTTAAGGTCTTATCACTCAAATTTCATAGAAACTTTATCCAACGAACCAAAATGCAAGCTTCTATACATCAAATATTCCTAATTCAATTTACACAAACCATACCAACTAATCCTCATCTCTTCTATAAACAAATCTACATGAGTCATTTGCAACAATGCTTGAATGTGCCATTATTAATATACTACTAAGCTGAAACTGCAAAAAATAATTTAAGAACATGTGAGCTACTAGAAAGTCTACATAGCAACAAAGAAAGAAGAAGCAAACAAACTTGGAGGTAGTGCAATAAGAAAGAGTGAGGATGCAAGGTAGCTGATCTAATAAGGTAATGGTACAAATAGATTCAATAGAGACAAAGTTGGCGATATCAATGAGGTTGAGTTCCACCCTTCCTTATTCTCAACACAATTAAAATTAGAGCCTCATGCTTACATCTTGTCTATTTTATGCAAGATCTTAATATATCTATTTGAGGATTCTATATAGCTATGATTTAGAAATATAATCTTTAATTCGAACCCTTTTGAATAAAGAGTAGATGAATGAAGGTCTTGGTTGGTTGTTGTTGCTTGCCTTGTGGGTGATTTAAGGTTCTTGCTTTTGCTTTGCGGTGTTGTGGCTCATTGTTGACAATAAAACATATTTTAAAAAAAAACTATTGTAGCCATAATTATGTGTATAGATCACTATAGCTAGATATAATTTATTTTATTCTTGGAAATAGAGATTAAGATATTTTATGCCAATTTTCTTAAAATCATATAAATTTACATAATAGTTATTTGATAATCTATTATATAAAGTACTTTGATATAATATAAAGATACAAATGTCATTTTAATTGGCTATGAAGAAGGGAACTTGGAATTGGCCAAGTTAAAACCCAAGAATTTTTCCATATAAAGTCCAATATATTAAAGATACTAGTTAATAAAATATAAGGAATTTATTTCAAATTTCAACTAATGATATTTTTTTCAAAATTATTTTACTTTTTAATTCTCTTCTATAACATACCTAAGATTTTTTTTAAAAATAGTTATACTAAAAATAATAGTTAAATAAGTATTTTTTAAAAATATTTATCATGATTTTTTTTGAATTTTTTTATTATAATTACAAATTTAATATTTTTTAAATATATGACATAAAGAATAAATGTAAAAATATACCAATGACTCAATGTATTTAAGATATAATTGCATGTCTATAAATAATTAAATGCATTCTTTTTAATTTACAAGATGGTGGAGGTGTTTTTGCAAGGATATACATGCCTAGGATTTCCAATTCTAGAACCCTATAAGATTTTAAAATATATGGTGAAATAATAAAAAAATATTTAAGATAAAATTATATGTATTATATATAATTAGAAAGCTTAGTTAAATGACAAAGAGATAAAGCAGCCTTTTTATTGCCTAAAAACACTAATTTTGCTAGAATATATATACATCATGGTGTAAGATGTCCAAATATTTCAATATTACAATGACTAATACAAGTTAAATTTTAGAATGTTATTGATAATATTTACTCAAATGATTATATTTATCTTATATATATATATATATATGCATTTATATTTTTATGTCATTTGATTAGAATATAGCTTTATTTATTTATTTATTTTTTATCATTTATAAAAGCATAAATCTCTATCCATTCCAAAGAAAAGTTAAAATCAAATTATTTAAAAACTTTTAAGTTTTTTCTTATTAACAGAAATAATATTCTACATCTAATATGAGTATGCATAAGAATAGTATTCAAATCAGGTAAAAAAATTAAAGATTTATAAAAAAAATTCATTGATTCAAAATTATTTCTTTAAATTTTTTTTAAACATTTTTGATACGAATTATAACAAGATAATTCTAAAAATTTTATTAAAAAAATCATTTCAACAAAAATATAATATCTTTATTCAAGATATATTTTTCTAAATATTATTATACTGATGTTATTATCATTTTTTTATATATAAAAACTTTTACTTTTTATCAATTAAGAATTTTAAAAATATATTAATCACAAAAAATATTATTTTACTTTATTTTATATTTTTATTCACCTTAGATTTTTATTTTTGTTTATTTTTATTTATTTTTATCTTAGAATCTTTATTAGTAATTAAAATATTAAAAACACTTGGTACAAATGATTATTTTTAAAAAGAAGAACTATATTATTGTATTATATGATTTGGAGGTTACAATGCGTAAGACATCTGGATGTAGTTTATTTAAATTTTCTCCTAAAGTAGAAAATTCTTCTTTTCATCTAAAAGAATATAAAAGTAAGATGTATAGAAACACTCTTTTTTACAACCTCGATTCTTTTAGAAATCCTGAATCTAAACAATCTTATTTCTTGTTATATTTGATTTTTAAAACTAAGTTATCTTATCCTTTATCAATTCTAATTCTCAAATCCTTTTAGTAATAAATCTCAGCCTCTACCAATTTTAAACAACATAAGATAAATCTAAGAAAATTCCTACTAAATTCTTATAAAATTTTACACAAATTTCAAAGAAACTTTAATTATTTTTAACAAATTCTACACAAATCTTAAAAAAAACCTAATAAATCTCAAAAAAAAAAATCATAAAAAACTCCTACCAAAATTTTAATAAATCTTAAAGAAAGTTTCAGCAAATCCTAAGGAAATTCTATGAAGCCTAAGTAAACCTTAAAGAAATCCTAAATAATATCCATCAAATCCTAAATATCAAACAACAATATTAGCAAGCTATAATTTATGATTTTATTGTTAAAATAAACTTTATATATTTCATATTCTTAGATATTCTAGTTCACAATAAGTGTATAAAATATAGAAAAGATCCAAATACACTTAAAAAATATGATTGAAAAACCAACCAAGTATTAAATAATCTTCTTTTTTTATTATGATATTATAATTTCAACATTAAGATCTTAAATTTCTGTTTTTATTTTTTATAAAAATTTAAAATTATTTTATCTATCATTTGACTTATTTATAAATCAATTTAATTAATAGTTCTTTATATGAGACAAATATGCTTAATGATCTTGAAATTACCAACTACTCATATTATATTGTAATTAAATTTCAATATTTTTTAATCTAATCAATATAATATGTATAAATTTGTGGAAAATAATTAAAACTTATTTATTCATTAAATTACAAAAGCACAACCATTAATATAATAAAATATTTAAAAATTGGCTATAAATATGTTCTTTTATTTTATTATTGAAAGTATTGTTGTGAAAATCCAAATTTTTACTTTAATCAGCTTTCACCAAGTAATTACAAATTCAATTCAAAATAATATTAAATGTTAAAAATTATCCTAAAATTCTCTTTAAATTTTACTTTTTGATCATTAAAAAAATCTACTTTTACCATGGATGCTTCTATTTGTGCTTAGACCTAGTTTTATAAATATTCTTTTTTAAATATTAATTAAATATTTTATATAATAAATTATGTAATGTATTATTTTAAAATATAATCTAAAGGTGTTTTTACTGATTTTTTTAAATTTTTTTTATTTATTCATTTATTTTTTATTTTTTCTTATCTAAATTATGATACTATAAAGTAAATAAAAGATTTTATTATAAAAATTGCAACATAAAATATTCAATATTTTACTACCAATCTATTAGTTATAATTTTTGAACATTTTTTTTTTTTTTTTATTTTTTTTTTATTTTTTATATTAATCTTTCAATTAATCATTTTTTATATATGTTGGTCTTGATTCATTTTTTGTCAATAAAAAGAACTTAAAGAGTGTAAACAAATAAGTAACATACAT